GAAGATGAAATAGATGAAATTGAAAATTCTGAATGTGATATGTCAATAGCAACAACATATTAATAAAAATATATTTTGAAATGAAGATGATGTGTTCTTTAATTATACAGTTAAACCAATAAGCCTTTTCATCATTAGAACGTAAAATGTATTTAGGATTTAGTAATTTATGAAATTGACAGAATTCAGATAATACAATGCTATAGTCTGATATACTTGTTTATAAAGTATTAGGTATTTTTAACATTTGACTTTATTGTCAATGTTCACAAATTTAACGAAAAAATATACCAAAATGAAAATGATCGAAAAAAATGATAAATCTGTTTGTATTATCAAATTATATAATCAAGATGATCGATACTTAATTAGATTAGAATTTTTTAATTACGATTATGCGATAAATTAAAAAAAGGTAAAATAATATTAATTTGTATAACTATTTAGGCATTGCAACACTATTACAATTTTTTTTTAAAAAAAAAATTTATTATAAAATAAAATAAATAATATATATAAAAAAAAATTAAATTAAAATTAAAAATAAAAAATAAAAATAAAAATAAAAATAAAAAATAAAAAATTAAAAATTAAAATAAAAATAAAATTATTAAAAATAAAAAAATAAAAAAATAAAAAAATAAAATTAACGCCTCCTCAGCGAAAAACTTCTCCTTCATGGAGAATATGACCTCCTTCTGTATCTTCAGAAATGGGATCTACAATCCCTTGAATGATAGCGGGAACGTGATCTATGATCCCGTGAACGATGATGGTGAGAATGGGATCTACGATTCCGAGAATGACTATGAGAATGGAATCTACAATCCCAGCAAGAATGAGATCTATATCAGTACTGGTATCAGCAGCGATCTACATTCTGTCTTCTATACCGACGATGATTTACGTCTAAAAATAATAAAAAATAATAAATAAATTAAAAAATTGAAGTTTTAAAAAGTAAAAATATATTTCTTATTACTATTATTCAATAAATAATTAATGGTTCGAAGCCAAAATTCGTCACCTAACACTACATGAAATATCTGATTATGCAGAGTTAGATTTGTTATTGGTTAGTCATAGGGATTTTTCCCATCTTCCAACTTCTTGAGATTTTTGTACCCATATTTTAATGAGTACCATTTTCTTCGACATTGAGAGGGAGTAGCAGCAAACTCTCTATTAAAAACTATTGATTGGATATGGTTCTCCATATCCTTTCATAGCGATTATTAGGAATGAACTCAAAATCATCATGATTATCGCGTCGAAGTTGAATTAATTCTCTTGCAGCGTCAACTGTCCATTTAAATGGAGTTATAGCAGGAGCAACTAAAGTCATAATGATAGAAATAAAAAATAAGGAAAAAGACAAAATAGGCGGGATCGAGAAATAAAAAGAGAGGAGGAGAAAACGAAATAAATAGGATCAAGAAATAGAGAAAAAAAAAACAAAATAAATGGGATCGAGAAATAGAAAAGGAAAAAGAAAAAACAAAATAAACGAGATCAATAAATAAAAAAAAAGAAAAGAATGAAATAAATGGAATCGAGAAATAAAAAGAGAGGAGAAGAAAATGAAATAATCCAAAATATTCATAGAATAGCTAAGTTGGATTTAAGTGGTAGTAGTGTCAGATATACAGCTGCAATTTCATTAACTGAAAAAACAGCAAGGGCAATTGAAAGGGAAAAAAAGAGAGTAAAAATATAATTTATTTTTTATTTTTTATAAATTTTATTTTTAATTTTATTATATTTTTTTTTTTTGTATTTTAATAAATATTTGTTACCATTTGTTTTATCAACAAAAAATATAAAAATATATACGTTATTGTAAAATAATTAATTTTCATTACTAAATAAGTAATTTCTAAATAAGAATTTAGTTTATATATTTGTAACACAATTTCATTTAAAAAAAATATCATGAAATTGCATCATTTACTGAAAGTGCAACATTGTTAAAAAAATTACATACTAATGTTTCAGATGAAAATTATTTTACCAAAAGTGTTTTTAAATCAAATTTTTAGATAGTTTTAGATATATGAGGCGAAACTGAAGCGAAAAGTTTCAGCTTTGAAAAAATTGTTTCGCTTATTATTTCGTCTGAAACACTATACAACACACATAATTTATTATACTTAAAATTATTATAAATAGGATGGATTTTTTCTAAATAGA